ATCACACATAAACTAGGAAAACACTAATGTGTCCTCTTGTTCTTATTTCTTAAAATACTTAAAAATTTATGTTACCACATGCCTACTGAGAACTATAAAATGAGTAATGTAGAATGACAGGAATGAAAGTGACTGGAGAAGTATGGAGCAAGATATTTTTTGAGAACCGCCTTTCTGAAGAAGTGACATTTGCTTTAAGAAAGGGAAGAATAAAAAAGATAAATTATAAAAGTAACCAGGAAGAGCTGTGTAAAGATCTTGGAGCAGGAGTAAGGGTGGAATGTTTGCAGAACAGCCTGGTGTGACTGAGGGTCCTGGGCAGAAGAGTAAGAGAGAAGGTAGCCAATCCTCATTGGGGTCTCACCTAGGCAACTCTAAGACATTTGGATTCTATTACATTTAAAGCAAGAAATCTTATAATTTACATGTTTGAAATATCTGTTCAGCTATTATGAATTATTGAGGAGTAAATTAGTAGGCTTTTGCAACAGTTTGAGAGTTAAAGCAGGCAGGGAGAAGTGGAAAACATTTAAATACATTCTGGAGGAAAGATCTATCAGACTTACTGGTAAATTTAATGGTGGGAGTTGCTGGGTGACAGAATGAGCTAAGTGACTCAGGCTTTTAGCTTACATTTTCACAGGTGGGGCCTTTACAAAATGAGGAAGATTAAGAGAAGACCAGGTTTTCTAGTAGAAAACAAAAGTGCTTTTTGGACACAATGATTTGAGAAAGCTTGTTAGAGAGTCAAGCTCTGGGAAAAATGGCAAGGACAGTGAAATGACATGGAGAGTATTTAAAGCATGATAATAGAAGAGGCCACCTGAGAAAGTACAGACAGTGAAAAAAATGAAGCTGTGCAGTTGAGTCTAGGGACCATCTACCAAACAGAAGTATGGTTGAAGAGAAAGAGCTTCCTGAAGATGCTGAGAGGAATGAGAATTGGAGTCAGCATGAATACCAGGACCATGCACATAAATATTGGGAGTCAGGAGAGAAAAAGCAAGAGTTGTTGGTTGTATTGACTGAAGTTGAGAGGAGAAGGAGAACATAGTGACTGCAGGTGGCAGATATAGAAGCTGCTAGTGACTGAGCTGCTGGTTTAGGGGAGAGGGAAGGAAGGGAACTCCAGAGTAGTGGAGAACGGAAAGAGCAAGGGGAGGCTGTTAGCTCAGTCAGCTTTGCCAACCATTTTAGTGAAAACAAGCAAGGTATAAGGAAAGAGCAGAGGTTTGCTGGGGAGCTCTGGACAAGAAAGATATTTTTCTTTGAACTAATGGGAGTTACTGGAGGACATTTTCTAGGCTAATGGGAACCATCCTGTAAGAGTAGTAGAAAGACTGCCAACTAAATCAGAGCTTAAAAACTCTCCTAACTAATCTAATTGAAAATACTTCTGGTTCTTTGACCTATGAAATTGCACTCTATAAAAATGCAAATTAGTAAGACATTAAGCATTTTTAAATTATCTAGATTTTAATATGCATTTATTATATTATGACCTTGCTACAAATACACAGTAAATATACATTTTGATATATCTGTTTTTCCAGAGAAAGAACAAGTAAACAACAAATTCTACACTTAAGCACAATCTAATTAATTATTTTAATATTTCAGCTTAGGCCCAGCCATAGTTGTACACACTGGTGGTGCTGTTTGGCAGGCTGAGACCATATGGGAGGGCTTGTTTCCCTTTCCTGTCTACCCCAAAAAGCCAGATGCAGTGGCATGCACTTAAGAGTCCCAGTTTCATGCAAGGCTAAGGCAGGAGGACTATAACACAATAATACCCCATCTAAGACATACACACAGGCATATCCCATGCAAAAATTATATGGCTATAGATATGAATATTTAAGTTTAAAGCAATTACTCTAGACTGTGATTGTCAGAGGGAAAACAAATTTTTTTTTTTTTTTTACAAATCATAGGCCACTTAGCTGTATATATTACTGGCAAAATTATATTCTCAACTATAAAAATAGAAATGATCTTCTCAGTATTTTTCTCTGAAATAATTTGTGGTGCATTCATTATATTGCAGTTTCCTTTTGAGTTAACCAGATCTGATTCAAATTCGTTCTCTGTGATTCTCAACATGTCTCTGTTGTAAGTGTGTATGTGAGGCAGAAAGAACTAAGACGGAACAAAAGAAAGAGGAATAATAACAATTACATTACAGAAATATAAGGATTGGAGATATTGTATAAAAAACAGTGAATCCTAGTGCTTAGCAAAGCATCATTATTAATACCCTTTTTCATTATCACTGTCATTACTATTTTTGCTGTATTTTTGAAGTTAAGGAACCTATACATCATAACTGAAGACCTTTCTACTGATGGTTATTGACAAACTGACAAAATTAATTAACTTATAACAACTTACAAAACAAAAACTTTTTTATTAGAGAGGCAAGTAATTGAGTTAATAAACACTTCATTAAAGACCTGTTAAATACCAAGGCTGTGTGTATGAGGGGGACAGATGTATGTGGTTTTAGAGTAAAAAAAAAATAGAGATTATGGAACTATTTGAGAAATACTAAAAATCTTAAAGTGAATTTTACATATTATGATTAGTTATGATTTTGTAGTATAGAATGAATATAGAGAAAGAAGTAGTAGAATAAAATAGATAGAAAAGACACAAACACATGGCCAAAAAAATAAATGGTGATAAGGAAGCAGAAACAGACAAATTGGGAGACCAGCAGTTAGCATAATGGCTATGTCGCTGGACTCCCATGTAGTCGACCATGGCTCACGTCTAGGACCCGGTGGCTCACGCCAGGCGTGTGTGTATGCCTGCACAAAATCCCAAGAGGAGAATGGAGGAGAAGGGATTGCAGCGTGGCCATCTCCCCTGTGGGGGTGATTTTTGGCTTTCTGTCTCTCTGTCTCTCTCTGTGTGTCTGGCGGGGGCACGCACCCTATAGCTAAAACCTCTCCAAAAAAAAAAAAAGAAAAGAAAAGAAACAGACAAATTGGAAATGGAGTGAAAAGGTCAAAAAGTACAAGGTGAGTTGTCCCAAAGTCACCACTTAATCTACCTTGAAACTATATTACCCTAAAAAATTAGTGATAATTCACTTTACTACTGATTCATTTTTCTATTACCTAACTGAGAATGCTGTGGCTTTCTCTCCTAATGGACTAACTAGTAAAGACTGCGACAGAGAAATTACTCCCTGGGTTGCAATAGTGGTTATCAGGGCAGCTGTCTTTCCAAAGGATAGAAATAAATTAAGCTGCAATCCAGATTTCATCTTTGACTAAGCTAAATGTTTCCCCCTCTCTTCTCCATATCTTCATTTAATAGAAGCTTTCCCTTTGCCTCCATTTACTCACCGATTGACAGACACTTCCCATTTTGTGTAAAACAAGCTGTGCTCACCGCATCTCACTTGCTTAGAGCTTTCCAATCACACCAAAGTTAACTAGCACAGGCTACTCCCACAAGGGAGGCTCATCATTATAGAATCCTAAGAATTTGTTCCTAAACTTTTTTGTAAGCCAGTTGTGCTTGCTGTTGTAATGTAATTAACGATTAGTTAAGGTGTTGAAATACGAATGTGATATACAGAACTGTTGTCAATGAAAATTAATGTTGTAAAATGTAGAGAGATCATCTTTTAAGTGCCTGAAGTTTTCATGATGAAAACCATGAACTGAAATTGCACGATACATTATTGGCAAAGCCTACGAAAGCAATATGGTGCAGAATCCCAATCAATAGACCCTTAAAGAAAAAGTCAGGGCTTTTCGTCTAAAGGCTGACATATGGATGCACACATGCTTGCTTCAAGTTGAAATAGAATACTAAGATATGAAAGTACCATTTTATGGTTCCTTTTACTTACAGAACTTTTCAGTTCAGGAACTTACTAGTTTTGGTCAAGATAGGTAAGATCATATCTATCTGCCATGGTCTTAAGTAATGTATCAAAGGCAATCTTCTTGTTGCCAGGAAATAGACAAACAGGGTTTTAGAAATAGAATACACATACTGTATGGTCACCAAGAGCAGAGAAAACTTGGCAATTAAAATAAAAATACTAACCACAGGTCAAATGTATGTAAGTTATTAGAACTGGTTAACAACTGCTTTAATACAGTAGTCCTCCTTAAGTATAACAGGAATAATTACAAAATGTTTGCCATATATGTTTGTACAAATCTTAGATTTCTTGAAGAATAGTTATTATATAAACTTAGAACCAAATGTAAGAAAATAATATTACTGACTTAAATCATAATCAAAATGATGGACCCATAATTATCAGCAAAAGTGGAATGCCTACCACTTACTAAAGTTTTAATCTACCACAGAACTGTATCATAGGATGGATAGGGAAATATATATATTATATATATATATATATATAGATGTATATATAAAGTATATATATTATATATAATGCAAAGAAATATTTTTCTCAAAAAGATTGAAATATTTCCTCAAAAATTGACTAGCACTATAAATTTTACAAAATGTAAAATAACTTCTCCATTAATATAAATATGCAGATTCATAAAATGAAGTATTTTAATAAATGCTAAGTAATAAGTTTGTCTTTGAACCAATGTGATCATAGTTCATAAAAGTATCAATGAACAAATAAAAATAACTTATTAATGTGAAAAAATTACATTGGTAAAATAAACAAATGACATGCATAGTTGTGGAGAGCCTATCTTTAAAATAATCCTAGAAACACCTCTAAAAATTATTTATGTATTATTTTAAGCCAAAACCCAAGCCTCTACAAAACAAACACACTATAGTGCACTTAGTCTGTACTGCCACCAAGTGCCTAAACCAATTAACTTTAAGATTCTTACAGCAGCTATCAGAAGATTCTTTCAGTGCTATGAGTAGCAATTTAGAAAGGGGCTAAGAGCAAAACACTTTGACTATGAATGGCTATAAGAGCAGCACAACTTAGACATGGCAATAAAATCTCAAAGGCATTAATAAAACATCAAAAATCTTACCAGCTCACTGGAAGTTCATGAATTCTAAAAACGTTATTCAGCTTGTAGTCAAATTTTGCTGGGGGAAGATTTTCTTTGCATAAATTCAGGTTTGGATTTGGTTGTATATCCATGGGAAATTCTGAATCCTAGAGAAAAAAATAAAGCAAAGTTTTGTTTTAAATATGTAAATCACTGTATACACACTACTCTTCTGTCTTACTACTATTAAATTACAAAATAAAGATTATTATTTTCTTGCAGATCTTACATTAAGAGTTCTATTTCCTATTTTTGTTTTGAGAAAATATGCAAAAGAGATAAAATTTAAAATAAGGCCATATATATTTCCATAAACAATTTCATTCTAAGTGTATATTATGTTTAAAATCATTTGAAAACACTCCCTTGTTGAATTCCAATAATATACAACATAGCATTGTCATATTATTGTCCTTTTTCAGTAAGAATTTCATGCCCAACAGTAAGGTCAGAAGTCAAAGACTATAGTAATTCTTATACCTCTTCTGCTCTCTATAAATGGTGGATTAAAAACACTTTCACTGGACAACACAATAATTTGCTAATTAATTATGTTTTTTTTTTTAATTCTGAGGATACAGTACTAGTTTAAAGGCACTTACTAAAGATGAACAATTTCTATCATAATCTTTTGCAACAACATACATTAGAATGCAGGTCTGTCACTTGGTCACCTTCCTCCTCACCAAGCAAACTAAAGATCAAAAATCATTTTCAGCCCATGAGAAAGTAGTCCTTCCTCAGTGGAAGGAAAACATCCTATGAAGATACTGAACATTTAATATTTAATGGTGAGTAATTAACTGTTTAATTCTACCAAAGAGAGAGAGAGAGACATAATAGACTGGGGCAAAGACAATTGCAGTTTTGGATTGTGAATTTTAAATCGTAACTAGGCTCAAAGACATTTTTATTAATCAAAATAGGAGCCATTACAATCAATACATTTTTGCCAAGAAGAAATAAATTTATTACTGTTGTAAAAAATCCATTCTTGGGGGGCCAGTAGATGGCATGGTGGCTAAGAGTCTGGACTTATGGACTTCCACATGGCCAACCATGGATCAAGTCCCAGACCTGGCTACTTGAAATTCTGGCCAGTCTCACGTGTATGCATGCCCAAAATCCCAAGAAGAGAATGGAGGAGAAGGGATTGCAGCCTGACCATTTCTCTCTGTGCAGGGTGCAAGGGTGATTTCTCACTTTCCCTCTGTCTATATCGATCTCAGGCAAGCACACACACCCTAGGGCAGAAACAAACAAATAAATCCATGCTTCAGGATTTGACAAACTCTTGGAAAGCATCTTCTGCATCCTTCTAGTTATAGAAGCATTTTCCCTGCAAAAAGTTGAGATGCTTGAAGAAGTGGTAGTCCGTTGGAGAGAGGTCAGATAAATACCGCAGATAAGGAAAAACTTGATAGCCTAATTCCTTCATCTTTTGAAGCATGGTTGTGTAATGTGCAGTCAAACATCATCATGGAGAAGAACTGGACCCTTTCTGTTGAGCAATGCTGGCTGCAGACATGGTAGTTTTCAGTGCGTCTCATTGATTTGCTGAGCATACTTCTCAGATGTAATGGTTTCACCAGGATCTAGAAAGCTGTAGTGGATCAGATCCCATCAGTGACCATTACCTTTTTTGGGCTCATGTTTGACTGTGGGAAGTGCTTTGGAGCTTCTTCTCAGCCCACCAGCTGTCATATAAAATCCACTTTTCATTACACATCACATTCCTATGGAGCTATAGCCACTTAAACATTTTCACTTTTCCTATTTGCTTTGAATGACAAACAACTATAAAATGGTCAGTGTTGAGTTCTTGGGCAAAATCTCTTATAGTTGTCAGAGGATCAGTTTTGATAATTGCTCTCAATTGGTTATTGTCAACTTTCGATGGTGAGCCAATACACTCCTCATCGTCAAAGCTCTTGTCTCTTTCGCAACATTTCTTGAACCACCACTACAATGTATGTTTGTTAGCAGCTCCTGAGTCAACACACTGTTGATGTTGCTATAGTTGTCTCTGCTGCTTTATGACCCATTTTGAACTCAAATAAGAAAAACATTTGAATTTGCTTTTTTTCTAATGCCACTTCAATACTCTAAAATACATACAAAATGAACAGCAATAAGTCACTAGAAAAAAACATAAGCAAGAAATGTGCATTAAAATGACATATAACTTAACCACATTTATTTAAGAATGTATCCAATAGCAAACCAGAAATTTCAACAATGGGAAAATGCAATTACTTTTGCACCAACCTCCCAGTAATAAATCTCCTTACATTTAACTCTTTAAAACTGCTTTTAGAGATGGGGACATGTCATTCATTTTTGCACTCATTCATTTTTTTTCAAGAAATATTTTTAAGTGCTACTCTAATTCTTCCACATATCATTTTAAGCATGGAGAATCCATTAACGAACAAAGCAGGTAAAAGCTGTTGCCTTCCTTGAGTTATATTCTGAAAGATTCCTTAATATATTGGGAGAACTGTTAAATGATAAAGCCAATTTTCACAAATTACACAGGATTTTTATAACTGATAAACATATATTCATAGAGAAATTTTATATATTTCATGATGTTATAAAGGAAAATATTAAAAGCAGTCTTAGTTTCACCACTCAGATACTATTACACTTTGGATTAATTACTTACTTTGATTTGATTTGCTTTCTCTCAAATTTTACAAAATTGGGACTATACTCTCTTATCTACTTTCTATTTTTTATTTAATAATATATGATTGCATTTTCACATCCTTTACTTTTTTTTTTTTTTGGAGAGGTTTTCGCTATAGGGCGCGTGCACTCGCCAGACAGACAAAGAGAGACAGAGAGACAGAAAGCGAGAAATCAAATCCCAGGGGGGATGATCACGCCGCAATCCCTTCTCCTTCATTCTCCTCTCAGGATCTTGGGCACGCACACACACGTGCCCGGCGTGAGTTTTAAGCCACCGGGTCCGGGACGCAAACGGTGGTCGACTACGTGGGAGTCCAGCGATATAGCCATTATGCTAATTGCTGGTTCCCACATCTTTTACTGTTTTGAAAGAAAAATAAATGTCATTTTATTTGACATTTAGCTATTCTCTGCCTCTCTAATGGTTATTACTGTAAGAACAGTTGTCTCTCTATACATTTGCACTTCACTTATTATTTTCTTAAAGTACAGTTCTAGAAGTACAAATAAACAATAGTTCAAATAAAATAAATATTTGATGAAAACATAACTCTTCACAGATGTTGTACCTATTCATGCTACTACCACTCAAATAGAATTGTGTACAATTAATCATACCTTTGTTAATGGGAGTACACCCATGAACACACATTCTTAAAATAATCCATTCATTTACCTGTTACTTATTTTGACTAATATTTATTGTTGATAATATAGTTCATGACAGGCACTTGTTTTAGTTCTTATAATACATAACAAAACAAAATAGATACAATTCTCTCTGCTGTGGAACTTGCATTCTAGCAGGACAACGCCAGTGATAAAAATGATAATAAACAGATATTATAAGGTGAAAGGGCTATGTAAGGAATTATTCCCAATTCATATACAAAGCTAAATTCCTTTACATTTCTTAAATTAATTGATTAGGATAAACTTGTTTAGATTTCTTCTTCATTCCTGTACTTCATGATTTTTTGAATTACATATTTATGTCTTTTGCTCATTTTTCTATTATGATATTTCATTTTAATGTTACTGCTTAGTTTGAAAATGGAGAGAGGATAAATTTATTATGTTGAAATATATAGCAAGGTTGATCAGAATGCCGTCTTATATAACTGTTTTGATGACATGGCAATATATGAAATCATAAAATTATTATCTACAGCAATTTTCATAAGCATTATTAAACCAATCATTAGATAAAGCTAATAAAATGAAGCATTTAATAAAAGTTAATCAACTAGGTCCTACTGTCTACAACTGAGAAGAAATTAAGAAAATAAAATAATGTCTGAACAACAAGAGATTTACAACAAAAGAAATAGAACCCTAGTAATAGAAATCCTATCTTAAACACAGATGCACTTGCAGAGGAAAAACCTAAGACTTATTTTATCATCTGGCCTATATGCCAAAACATTCCAGGAGACAACAGCCAATAAATGAGTAGGCAGGATCAGTGAGGTAAATATGGATATATAAATAGGACAATGCATAAAGGAGAGAGAAAGTACAATAAATCTTAAAACTATTCTCTCAAGCTACATAACCATAACCATTGCACACTACGTGGGAGTCCAGCGATATAGCCATTATGCTAATTGCTGGTTCCCACATCTTTTACTGTTTTGAAAGAAAAATAAATGTCATTTTATTTGACATTTAGCTATTCTCTGCCTCTCTAATGGTTATTACTGTAAGAACAGTTGTCTCTCTATACATTTGCACTTCACTTATTATTTTCTTAAAGTACAGTTCTAGAAGTACAAATAAACAATAGTTCAAATAAAATAAATATTTGATGAAAACATAACTCTTCACAGATGTTGTACCTATTCATGCTACTACCACTCAAATAGAATTGTGTACAATTAATCATACCTTTGTTAATGGGAGTACACCCATGAACACACATTCTTAAAATAATCCATTCATTTACCTGTTACTTATTTTGACTAATATTTATTGTTGATAATATAGTTCATGACAGGCACTTGTTTTAGTTCTTATAATACATAACAAAACAAAATAGATACAATTCTCTCTGCTGTGGAACTTGCATTCTAGCAGGACAACGCCAGTGATAAAAATGATAATAAACAGATATTATAAGGTGAAAGGGCTATGTAAGGAATTATTCCCAATTCATATACAAAGCTAAATTCCTTTACATTTCTTAAATTAATTGATTAGGATAAACTTGTTTAGATTTCTTCTTCATTCCTGTACTTCATGATTTTTTGAATTACATATTTATGTCTTTTGCTCATTTTTCTATTATGATATTTCATTTTAATGTTACTGCTTAGTTTGAAAATGGAGAGAGGATAAATTTATTATGTTGAAATATATAGCAAGGTTGATCAGAATGCCGTCTTATATAACTGTTTTGATGACATGGCAATAT